TTAGACCATATATGTGAACACAATTAATACGAATTAGAAATGCCTATATCGGTCAAAGCTAGATCTTTAATATTTAAATAATTCAATGTGAATTGAAATTTAATTGCGTTTATAAGTCCAGAAAATCAATTCGACGCGAATGACTACAAATATGATATATATATGCATGTATATGTATACACACACACACACGCACACACACACACACACACACACACATCATTTTCTGGACTTATAAACGCAATTAAACTACTGTAATAAAATCATGAATTAAATTAAATTGACAAACAATTTTTAATAATTTAATCCTCAATCAGGCATCATATTAGAAAGAGTAATAAGTAAATAAGAATGGATTAAAATTTTTTTAATGCATGCACTTTCCATGAAAGTGGATCCATGAAAATGGAATGAAATGGATTGGATTCGAGCTGACACTAGTTTCATATTCGAAAAAAAAAATTCATATTTAAGGGTTACAAATTTTATTCCTAAGACATTTATAATAATTATACCTGAAATTAACTATTTCAAATTGGTATTAAAAAACGCACCTGAGATTTGAGAACCTGGTATCTCTGGATTTTGAATCTTCTATGCTACACCATTTTTTCAATCGATAAATGTGTTATTTATTCTCTACTTCAACTACAATCAGCTAAACTAGTAACGAAATTATATAACTATAGCTATATTCAACTACAATCAGCTAAACTAGTAACGAAATTATATAGCTATAAAAATATCATCATTATAGATATAAAAATTATAGATATAAATTATAGATATAAAAATATCATTTAACAGATATAATAAAATATAAATAATTTACATTAGTAAGTGTCGAATAATTTAATCTCGCTTAGCCGATGTCGCGCCGTGATTAACCTAATATTTACTTCTAATCAAAGAGAAACAAAAGAATATAGCTCAATTATTTTTATGTTACAATTTTTTTTAACTTAGTTGGATTAAAACGAAAAATTTTCTACTTATAATTTTGAATAATTTAAGTAGCATTTATGGTTTTAAATAAAAACTTTTTTTATTCAATTAGATTGAAAAATTGCATTTCATATTCAGAATATTGAGCAGTATTCACGTTGCACAGAAATTGCTGATATTATTTCTGAATTTAACTAAATTACAAAAACTGTACTTCCTATTTTGAATTGAGTAGTATTCACGATGCACAGAAAAAGCTAATATTATTTTTAGATTGAAAGGCATAAAGATTGCTCTATGCAATTCCTTAAATGAATAAAAATGCATTCAGGATTCATTTTAACATGCATGAATCTGTATTTCTGAAAATCTGAATCCATTTTAATCCATTCAATTCATTCTCGTTTGCTGGGATGTTAAAATGCTGAAAAACTGTAAATAAATTTATTGTGAAAAATTCCTCGGCCGGAAATCGAACCCGGATCTCTCTTGTATTCTGTGCGAGCGTTCTAAGCTTTTAGACTTTAGACTATCGAGGCAAAATTAGATATCACGATTGCCATGATACTGAACATAGTGAGAACTAAACATAGTTTCATCTAAAAAAAAAAACAAAGAAATTCTAGACTAGAAGATACATACATTAAATTATTGTTGGCATTTCTGCGAATTAATTAACTTAACCTGAGATTGATGGAAAAGGCTCTTGATCTAATTATGTAATTAATTTATTAATTTTAAATCTTTAAAACTCAGGGAAATTATTTTTTTTCAGGAATATTGTGTTAAAAAATAATCAGATATATTATATAATTATAATGAGATATTTAGAGCAACGAATTTGCGAATGTTTCACATATTTTGTCAATGTATAAATCATATGACGAATGTTACAAATTAAATTCGGGAATTGTGTTTACTGATCGGATTATTCGATGCTGATCATTATATACCGCTACATATGGATATACAAGTTCGAGAGCGACGTGCCTGAGAAAAACTTGATTTTAATCGTGCCAGCGTGAGCTACCGTGGGATACTTCTTGTATCCCCTCTTGATGCTAACTACCGATGTAATGTTGGTCAATATATTGGAAGGAATTTTATTTCTCGCATACGATTTATTGTTTAATATTTATCTTATGATTGGATCATTGCATAGCAATTGCAACAATTTGACCCTTAACTTTTAATTAATCTGAGGCCCCCCCCCCATATGCATTCGCACAAATAATATAAATAATATAAATTAGGAATATAATAGATAATCAAAATTAATTAGCATTAAAATTAAGATTATAAATTTTGTGAGTAAAATATTCGAGAAAATCAAAATCAAAGATCAATTTTATTTCTAAGATTGTGATTGATTAAAATATTGTGACACATAATAAGTAAATATATAAATAAATACATGTATGTTGCTGACAGAGTTGACGGTGAGGATGTAAGATTGATGCTATGGGATACTGCAGGACAGGAAGAATTCGATGCGATAACCGCGGCTTATTATCGCGGTGCACATGCCTGTGTCCTCGCTTATTCAGCGACTGATAGAGATTCTTTCGATGCTATTCCCTCGTGGAAACTTAAGGTACTAATCTGTAAATTTCATTTATAAAATTAATAGAGGAATGAATTTAATCTGCTATAAAATTTAATTCGCTTAAAACTTTTTATGGCTTATTAAAATAAATGAAAATTATTTGCTTTTGATTAGGAAAATTGATTCTAAAATAGCTCTAGGAAAAGCTCTATTATTAAAAAATTCATTTTTTTTCGTAGACAATAGACATTCTGTATAATTTTCTTAAAATATTCTCTTATAGGTCGAGAATGAGTGTGGAGAAATACCCACAGTCCTGGTGCAAAATAAAATCGATCTTGTTGATCAAAGCGTGATCGATGTGTGAGTATGCGTTAAACCATTTCTATTGAGTTTTTTTAAAATGAAACTTGTAGATCTGAAGCATTTGATATTATAGGGACGAAGCCGAAAGGCTCGGTCGCACCTTAGGTTGCAAACTCTTACGGACGTCTGTAAAGGAGGATATCGGCGTGATGAGCGTCTTCCGACATTTGGCATCCCGATGTTTGCACGAGATGCGTCGCTCCGACGATGACTATCAGGACGATTTGAGATTATATTCTGCAGAACCTAGATCTCCTTCTGTCATCAGTAAGTAGACTCAATTGTATTGCAAAAATCCGTAATTCGTCTACAGTATGAATGAAGTTATATCTTTCCTTGTTTTACAGGTGCGTTTAGTCCAGACGGGTCAATGTGTGGTCGTAACACCAGTAATGGAACGATAATCCTTCGACCCGGTGGCAAAACGAAGAGTCATAAGAAACGAAATTTCGTAAAGAACGCTTGTAGACTCTTGTAGCAATAGTGTACGTGATAGCATTACATTGCGTTTCGAGTGTTACACGAAGACGTCAAAGGTAGGGATGGTGTCTTGTAAATATATATAGTTTATTCTCTGAAGGCGTAAACGGACGGTGATTTACAGTGTCCGTTAGTGCAAATTTATTGTATTTTAATTAACGGCCTGCGATGGTTTCGTGTATAAGAACACAGTACGCATAACATTTGGGAACTCATTAATTTAAACGCAATAGAAATAATCACCATAATTATGCTCATAATGTTAACCAAATGGTTGTAGATTATAAAGTATGGAAGATTAATCGTAAAATATACAACTGTGCGTACTCGCAAAATGCGGATGGGAATAGTGATACGAATATGACGCGTAATTTGTAAATATCTCGCCATATTATCGTATATATGTTTAATGAATTATTAATCTTTAAATTGCATTGTATTCAAGGACCAAATTATGAAATTAAGATTTTAATACAAATGTAACGTTAAATAATGATAATAATTATTATTATTTACAGATTAGCGCGTCGATATTATTTCAAAATATAATAATTCAAGATCATCTCAACTTTATAAAATATTTAAATTCATTCTGAATTAAATTTTAAAATTAGATAAAAATGCATTTTAACATGTATTGTGATTTAAGGCTTTTGTTTCTCTAATGTAGCTATTGAATTTCGACATCAAAAGTGAAAAAGTATATGAATTTTTTTTACGTATTTCACTTCTGACGTTATAATTCAATTTTGACTGTAGCGAAAATATAGAAGCCTTAAGAACAAGTTGATGTGAACTACAGTTTCCTAAAGCAATAATATGTTACAATATAAGTTACTTAATAACTAATGTTATATTTTTACTTAATTGTAATATTACAGAACACAATAAAATCTCTGTACATTTTGCTAAAAATAAAATTACTTTTGATAAACGAAATCTTAAGAAGAGGAGCTATAAACGAGGAATAAAGAAAAGAAAAATTTAAATGAATCGTATTCAAGATACAATTAAGGGGGAATTCTGATTTAGAAGTTTAGAAGCTTGATCAGTTTCTAGACTAGAATCCCCCCTTAACAGAATTTCTCAAATCATTAAAAAATCAAATTATTTTTTATAATAAAACAAGATAACCATTTAACCATTCTTGTTACACTCGAAACTAATCAGTAGCTAAATGTCTCACAAAGTAAATAGAGCATGTTAGAGTGAGTGTAAAGAGGCCATTTACTTTATATTTGTTAACATTCAAATAATATTTAAAATTTTATAAGTGCAGTTGTACATATCCTCTAGAAATTCTTCTTTATTTTAAACGTACAGATTTGAAAAATATTATCGAATGCTTTTTTAATCCCTTTTTTTTTATTTTTTTAAGTTGCTGAAATGCCAAATGTCTTAAATATGTTTAGGAATTGTATAAACGCCGAGAATCGCGTCACTATAAGATTAAATCCAATCAATCACATATTGTTGCATTCTGTACACAGCCCAGCGTTCCATTTGAAGTAGCTATTTGCGATGTGGAAGAAAAATGGAAACTCAGCCACGCAGAAAAGATGTAAAGAATATATCTTTCCCAATTGTCTCTTAATTCGCTAAACAGCGCTAGACCGTTAAAAAGATTCGAGACTCATGGAAATTCAGACAAATTAATTTGCCGAGGAACCTCTTGGTGTTATTTACTGTGTCATCTCTAAGATGTGCATCTTATCGATATAATCAAGCAATCCCTGCAATCTTTTCTTGACTCGCTTTTGATCGTCTAACGTGCATCCAAGAATAGCGGTCTCGAAGATCTTATCGGAATGTCCTATACTATGGGAAGAGCAAGCATTCATAAATTCTGCACATCGCTGTCGAGTGCCATTTGGGTCTTGCCGTAAGCCTACGACCAAGCTGTCAATCAGGCCATTAACCTACATTAATATAACAACCAATTAGTCATTGAATTCTAAAACGATACGCTACCGCTCAAAAGTTTGGAGAACCTTATAATTTTTAAATAAAACCATGTTTTTTAACAGATATAATTATTTTATTGAAAATATCGACATATGCATATAAATACACTATTTGAGTAGAGTTTAAAACAATAACAAATTAACATATATATCTAATGTTAGATAACAAAATTTATTAATTGTCTTTTCACAGAAAAACAAATCTTAAACTGTTTTTCAGCTAGGACATAGAACATTACACTATGTTCCACTGTAAGGTACTTGTTGAAACACAGTTTAGATTTATAGTGTGACATCAGAATGCATTGTAATCTTTCATTCTTATTCTTATAATTATATTTATCATATCAATAATAGATTTATGATTTTTATTTAGACTTAAGTTATAATTTTTTCAGAATTTTTGGCGATTTTTAAAGGTTTTATTGTAAAATAAGTACCAGCTACTACCAAATAACTTTTTGAAAAGTTGACAATATTGACATATTTTACATGCTCGTACTTAGCAGTGTCAAGCAGTATAACACTGTGTCACCTGTGTACGTGTTAGAAAACATTCTTAGATTTCATTATTTGACCTTGGCTATAGATTTCTTTGTAGTTTGAAGTTGTTTATATATTTCTCCGAAGATTATTTTTTGTATAATGATAAAGTGACTTAAAAATGGCAAAAAGAACATAGCTTAGCTTATTGAAATCTATAATGCTACTCTATATAAGGAAGATTATTATTTTAAATTTAAGCTCCTCTCAAATAATATACATTCACATGTTTATGTCGATTTTTTAAATAAAATAATTGTATTTATAAAAAAAACATAGTTTTATCTAAAAATTATAAGGTGCTTCAAATTTTTGAGCGGAATTTGTATCTTTATAAGATATTGTAAATGAATCTCAAACCTGATGTAATGCTTCCTGTTGAACATGATCTCGTTGGACTGTGACTAAAACATCTACAGTGGAACAGCGCATGGACAATCTATCCGCATACCTCAAAATATCATCTCTATCAGCTGAATAAAGGATATGATAATTAAAGATATGTTTTTAATATTACATCAAAGAAAATTATTAATGTTTAAGTTGGGACTTAGGTGTTAAAATAAAATAATTCTAGATCTCTTCTTTTTCAAAAACCATTCTGAACTAATATACACTGGTGCAATAAATTGGAGTTAAATTAACTATTAGGCTTTCTAGCAAGAGACAGTTTAACGCAGTAATCATTTCATCGTTGTTTAACATTACTAAGTAAAGATATAATGATTCACTGTGTCTCTTGCTAGAAAGCAACCTGTATTTGTTTACTTCAACTTTGTTTTTTTCTAAAAAAAAAAATAACACTGTTCATCAAGTAACCTATATAATGATTTATCCTAGTTACCTAAATATTTCTTCATTCTTTTTCCACAATTAAAGGTGATAATCTTAGAAATACAATAATATATAAATAAGTTAAAACATACATGTAATACAAAGAATGATATTAAATTAATCATAGAATAAAAAATTATTCTCACATCAAGTAGTACATATCTCTCTCCTTTTTTCTTTGTCCTCTATCATTCCAATTTAAATTAAGCGAAAATATTGTGGGGCATTCCATTAAATACAGTGAATTAAATCGTTCACTCACGTTCCTCGAGGGTGAAGAGCAAATCATTATTTCTGAGGGTGTCCAAAGTCGTCAGCAGACCGTCTTTTTCTTCCATGAGCCTGGCGGCATCCTTTCGCAGTTGCTCTACATGAGCCTCGATGTGATCCAGCAGACCAACTAACCTGTCTTTCGGTTTCTGCTCGTTACTCGGTTGCTCCGCGCTTTCCATGCTGCGTTTCCTCGTCTAGCATCGACTCCCCGGCGAGATGAGACGGCCTAATTGGATCCTCAACGACGTCGATGCAAAGGAGATCGCGACAGATCGCGTGCGCACCTGTCTGACTGATCCTGTTAACTCACGCGACTGCGTCAAGATTGGTCGAGAGAATTAAAGCTAAAACACATAATCCGTATACCGTTTGATTATGTTTAACGTTAAAACGTCGCGTGTTCTATGTTCTAATCAGCTTGGCTCGACTCTAATGACTTGATGCGAAGTCAGTATAAATATAAGTACGACAAAAACCGGAAGCGAGAGAGATATCTTGCGATTACTAATGATTATTAACACGCGGATCCGTTTACGGTTCGTTAATTAACTATTTCCTCTGTATACAAGTTGATATGAACGAAATAACTGAAAGAATTGATGAATCAAATTTTATATATATAAATATCTATATGTTATTAGATTTGTACCCACTAGTATCTCAAAATAACTGTATTCGTCGACATTAACCTCTTTTGTTGGAATGTTTCAGTCTTTCAAATCGTGAGCAACATGTATCCTACTTTACCGATGAAACAGCCGATAAGAATTTAAAATTTTTCATGTAAATGTGTTCTGATAGTTTTGTCCATATCTGTATATATATTATTCCGTCCACATCTGTATATATATTATTATCCATTTTTTTTCAGAAATTATTATACAATTTATCAATTTCCCATTTCGAATTTAATTGCTGATTTGATTTTGGCTTCCAAACTAACCTAAATTGAGTGATCCCGTCGTATCATTTCTTTTCTTTTTCCTGAATAAGCGTGCGAGATCAGCGTGTGAAGTAAGACGTGTCTCTGAATTTATTTTGTATCCATATCATTTGCATGTCATCGTTTACCGTTTTGTAAAACATTGTTTCGCGTTCGTTCAAAAAAAGCACGTTATTTCATATATCCTGAATCGTTTCGCGTTCTGTTCAGTTTCTTATTAAATTTTTACTTCATTCCAGGTCCATCTAATTAACACTAATCGCAACAAAATATGGTGAGTAAAGCAATATTTGCCGTTTAACCTCGACATATTTTTGGATATGCATAAAAATTTCACTGTTTTATTTTATTATGTATGTGTTGACAAGCTAGATTTACATCATAACCTCTCTCTCTCTCTCTCTTTCAAAATAAGTTTCAAGTTCGATAAATGCATCAAAAATATTATTTTGTTTTCAGCCACGAGAAATCAAAGAGATCAAGGACTTTCTGTTGAAAGCCAGGAGGAAGGATGCTAAGTGTAAAATATTTTTATTAATTCAAGAGTTTCTTCCTTGCGAGTCTTATTTTATATCCCAGCAAACGAGAATGGATTGATTGAAATGGATTCAGGTTTTTAGAAATATTGATTCATGAATGTTAAAATAAATGCTTTTCAATCCTGAATGCATTTTTATTTATTTATAGGAATTATTATTGCATGGAGCATATCTGTCAATCTAAAAATAATATTAGCTTTTTCTGTGCAACAACATACATAAAACACATTGTGAATATTATTCGATTCAAAATTTTGAATAGGAAATGCAGTTTTTCAATTCAATTGCATCAAATTGAATCCAATTAAATCCAAAAAAGTATTTGCTATTTAAAATACACATTAGAAAAAAATTTCAATCCATTTTTCTTGTTTGCTGGGATGAATGTAATTAATTCTTTCGTTCTTCCTTCAGCTGTAAAAATCAAGAAGAACGCAGACAATGTCAAGTTTAAGGTCCGCTGTTCTCGATTTCTGTATACCCTTGTGATCACAGACAAGGAGAAGGCTGAGAAACTCAAGCAATCCTTACCACCAGGTAAAACATTTTTTTATGTTTGAAATTGACAATCTTTGTAACGTTCCTAACTGTACTTTTTAAATAATAAATTTACGAGTATCTACTTAAGTTTCAATGCAATATAAATATCTTTTTAGGTTTACAAGTAAAGGAAGTAAAGAGGAGTGAACGTGTATAAAATGACTAAATAAATAATCTTTTAAACATGAGTCTTTCTTTTAATTTCCTTATCCTAGAATTATAAGAATTTCATATTGCGTTTCGACGAAGTGGCAATTTACTATTTGTCTTTTTGTTGGAACATGAATGTCCTGACAGCTCTTTTTTAAAAATATATCTCGGGAAAAGATATACAGGTGCACTTCATATCGCTTATCTTGAAATAATATTGTATAATAATAGAAAAGCTTGAATTAATAAAAAGAGCGATTTTAAACGCAACATAATTTTTCTTGATTATAAATTTGTAATACACATTCATTGTAGTATAGAATAAATGCGACATTAGTCGAACGTGATAACTTAATTATTTTTTTTAAAGGACATATTTGACACAAATGTCCTACCTCTCTTAAGCTTAATTAAATGAATAAAAAGATCAATGTTTCGATTGCATCGTTTGAGAGGAAGAAGTCATGATAGATCCTAAGCCTCTCTTTTATTTAAACGTATATGTCAAGGAAAAATTTTTTTCTATTTTTAAGTGCTTTCTCTTTATAACTAATTACAAGATTAAAAAGTCAGAAATTATGTAATTTTTCCCCTCATGTTATACACTTAAATAATTTTTTCCTCACATTATACATTCAAATAAACCTATTCTTTTACTACGTCAAAATTTGCGCGCACACACGTTCATTAATATAAATATCTTGGAAATTCTTTAGTCTTTCTGTATTAATAAATATACATGTACGTGTATATGCTGATTAATTTTTATCTTATTTATACGGACTCTTCACTTTCTCGAAAAAGTATGTGCACACCTTACATACTTCTATTATTGTAATAGCAAATTATTCATATTTTGATATATTTCTTTTTGTTTCCCTTTCTTTTTTTCTTGAACCGCCTTCCATTTTTTATTGTAGAACTACGAACTATATATATATATATATATATATGTGTGTGTGTGTGTGTGTGTATGTGTGTGTGTGTGTATATATATATAAATTTTGTTTGAATAAAATAAAGATTGGGGTTTCGATATTCTTCATTCATCACATTCATGGTAAGTTGTCCTGCAAAAGTTTTCATTTTTAATACAATGTAATTAGAATACATGATAATAGATATAATAATCGATTAGAAGTAATGAAGTACCTTTGCTTGTCTTTATTACGTTTCGATAATCTCCTTTCACGGGATTGTGTTGTTAATGTATACCGTTTAGTATGTACCCGATTTGTTCTGAGTACCCGCATTTCGGAGGTCTTCGCTTTTTCTAACTTTTCCATAAACTTTGCAATGAGTTCTGGACAATTTAGATTTTTTTCCGGTTCCCACGTGTCGTCAGACGCACTGAATCCTTTCCATCTGATTAAAAATTCTTTTGAGCCATTTTTCTTAAAACGTACTTCTATTATTTTTTCGACCTCAAATTCCTTTGAGATCTCTTTTTCCTCTCCACTATCTTCTTCGTCTGGAAGAAAGATATAAATGCATAGAATTATTATTTTCATAATAAATAACATTTCAAAATAGATTACAAATGATACAACGTACTAATTTCTTTCGTTGGATTTTCTTTCTTTTCTTGGATTTGTTTCTTGGGAGTACTTCTGGAAGATCTTTTAGATTTTTCTGTCTTGATCGGTTTTGATAATTTAATTTCTTTTTCTTTCTCTTTATCTTTTTCCTCAGCTAAAAAGTCTTCTATCAGTTGAGAACAATTCAAATCCTTTTCATTTTCCCAAGTGTCATCATTTTCCCCGTAACCTACCCATCTCACCAAGAACTGTCGACGGCCTTTAATGGTACGAATATTGATGAGCCTTTCGACCTAAAAAAAAAAACAAAAAAAAAACAAAAAAAAACATTTTTGATATTTTTAACAAATAAGGAAACAAGTATTTGATATAAAATGCAGAATAAATTTAGTATAAGTAAAAAAAATTGGTCAATCAGAGTCAATTATTCTTTTCACATTCGATTGGTCAATCTCTTGTTTTTTACACTGCAGCTTACTCTGCACATTATGTTACAGATAACGCATTAGATTTTCAATGTCATAAAAATAGTACAAAAATTCAGTATTGAAACTACTCGACAATTAAATAGCAATTTAATGTGATTAGTTGAATCTAAAGATAAGAATTAATCACATTCAACTGCTACTTAGTCACTTAAGGAGATCCTAAAGCTGTCTGTATTACCAATTGAGGCTGTATTCTAAAATTTACTGCTAGTACTGAGTCTAGTGCACGTGACATAAACTATAAATTTTCAGGCAGTAAAATTTTGGAACAACCTCACAGTAGGACTTACATACGTATGATGTATCATTGATTTATATATCACTACATTAATATCGTACGCACATATAAGTTTCTACCTAATCTTTTATATTAAATGTTTAAGCCTAATTTTAAGACCACAATATTATTTATTCATGTAATCTCTAGTTCAAAGATTCTTTTATACATAGCATAAAACACTTATATAAAAACAAATATTATTGCGGATCAACAGAAATCGATAACAAAACTGTAATTTTCTAACTTTTGTGATAAAGTCGACCAGTTTGGACTATATTATCGTTATTGGTTGTATTAATGTGGTAGAAGAATTTTTACATCTCTAAAGGCAATTAGAAAACTACTTCGAAAAATAATTCATAAAACAAATGACTTTAGGATCCCCTTAATTATTGTAACGCATTATCATTAATTATTAATTATCTATATCTTACATTATGCAGAAATATCTAAAATTCACAGACAATTGAAATACAATAGTAAGAAAACTGTCAAAACCTTAATTATTTTATAAATCTTTATTTTTAGCAATATTTTCTTCCAATCGAACAAAAAATTTTTGAATATTCAATACAATTTGTAAAATCATTTCGTTAATCATTCCTGTTAACTTCACGTATATGGCATGCATTTCTTTCCGCGCGGTAATATTTGTTGACCGGAAAAAAGGGATACGCGATTGGCCGATGATATTTGTCGTAAACAATGATAAATTATCCGAAAATCAATTACGTTTTCGAAAATTGAAATATATTTAGACATAATAAAAAAAATTTAATTATTTTGTGACAATTTTTCAATCGGTGATTTATTTTCAATTCAAACGTAATTAGCGTTCTACGATGCGAAGGTAGGAAAATGTGTGTAAACATCCGCCATACCTCATATTCATTCTCGACTTCGAGCTTGTCGCGGGCCGAGGTGGATGCTCGTTGGTCTTCCTTCTTTCTACGCTTGTTCGGTGACTGTTTCTTCTCGCCGTTTTCCCGCTCTTTCAGTTCTACTGTCGCAGAGTCGTTATCAGAGTTTACATCATCATTCGAGCTCGCCACCGGCTTCTGCATCAATGCACCGCGCGACGAGCGTCTTTTCGTGGCGGACTTTTGCGCGCTGTTGTTCTTAGTCTTACCGGCCTGCGTCTCGTCGTCGTTGTCGTTGTCGTCACTGGCCGCGCGTGCGTCGACATTTTCTTCCGGCTCGCTATCGCTCGCCAGTTCGGATTTTCTATGCTTGTTCTTCATACCGAGCCGTCGCATAATATCTCTCGCGGTACTATTAGCGTGCAAGCAGACTTCGGCTCTTGACCGTTCCTACAATTCTCTTGACAACTATCTCTCTTTACTATTGCCAATGGCACCACTCGGCCTCTTGCTTCTTCTCCTCCTCCTCCTCCTCCTCCTCCTCCACTTCCTCCTCCTCTTCTTCACCGCCCCCTCTTCAGCCCCTTGGCATTTATTCTCGCGGATTCTCTCGCGTTCCGCTGGCCTTCCCCTCGCTTGCGAGCACCAGCGAGAAAGTAACAGGCCGATGAAACGCTTCCCGCCGCGTTCCGAACTACTGCAAGAAATTTTACCCTCGTACTCTGCAACAGTGCGCGCGCATTTCAGCTTTTTACCCACAATACTCGCGCCTCACGCGAGTACACGCACACCCGTACACGTCCGTGTATATTATCGTGGAGAGTACCGGCACAATACAGAACTGACGAATCCGAACGAATGCTCTTCGGGCGGGACTTTCATGCGCGTGCGTCGAATGCGTCATCGATCACGTGATCGGCAAACCACGCACGTATCAAGACGCCACGCAGAGGCGTCCATTTTTGGGGTCCGTTTAACCAGTCAATTTTGTTACGTTTACATTAATAATACGTCATAAAACGTTATTTATTCTTTTTCATCACGGGATCTATGACTCATTCTTTATTGCAGTTATATACTACGTGATTGAAACAATATATGCGCACCGAACGTCGAGATAAGTTCCGATAACAGCCTGTTCTATTTTTATCTGAATCTACTCGCACGGTACATTCTTTCCTCCCTTTCGCTCCAGTTGGGAAAAAAAAAGAGAAAAGATGAAGCGTGCAAACTCGGATAAAATGAATAGACCTGATGGCGATCTTTGAACTGCAGATCGAGTATAGTTCGGACGAACCGATCAATCTTCACGATCCTGAAAGATCGATATTATGTACTTTACGAATCCTATTATTATTTTTGACACGTAATTTTACTGTTAACTACGTCTGCGAAGTACCGTTAGTTTGTCTCTCCATGTAACATTAGCTGAAATCGGTAATTTACACAAAAAGAAATCGATTACGGTCGATGAGTCTTGTCCTAAATAGAAAAACATGTTATGATAACATCGAAATGAATTAAAATGAACAGTAAATGACTAAAAAGTGACTTTTAGTGAGCATTTTGAAATCATTTTGATGTTATGATTTATACTTTCCAATTAAGAAAATATTAAATCAAGAGAAAGACTATTTTGACGTATCATGAAAATCAAAATGATATTTTGTTATAGAATTTGAGTTTATTGACGTTAAGCATTAAAATAATTTTGATTTTGTTGATTTTTGTATTCTTTGAGTTAGATTAGTAAAAATCTTGCAAGTAGCAGAGTCGATTTTCGGATCACCGATTTTAATTATCAATTCTTGTATTCAATTTTAATAAAGCTGATGTATTATGAATTAGATTTGCTTATTTTTTTAGCGCTTTGCACATATAAATGCAAGTGTAAATTTTGTGTAAATTTCCGAGGAATATATTAGAATTGATTTCTAATTTGATCTATTGTACTTTTTTTCTTCTCTTAGACGCGACTTAAATAATGCACATAGGTTCTTATCATTGAACTTCTTGCACGGTTTATCATTCCCCTTTCTTTTCACGTTGGAGAGAAAAAAAGGAGAAACCGTATACAAAAAGTTCAGCTAAAAAGAATAACAGACCTATAACTTGAACGACTTGGTTGTACCTTGATTTTTTAATATCAACAACATGTAATCACTTCTAATATTTATTCGCTTTATCCGCCAATGAATACTCTTACATTTTCTTTTATATTGCCGAAACTGACAGAAGCTATATGTCGCCTACAGGATTGACTTCCGGTTGACTTCCCCTCACCCCCGTGATGAGTAGGCCCTGTATTTACCGTTCATTTCAATTACACTCTCTGCACTTTGTTTCTTCTCCTTCCCTCTCCCTTCGAAACTCAACATATGCATGCTTTCTTTGTTTCCGACGCAAAAAGTACAGGAGAGTGCAATTGAAACGATGCCCATTTTACTTAAATGCATCGCAATAAAGCTTGAGAAGACCGTATGACCTTTTAGCGAATTGGTGAAACTGCTAAATGAATAATGAATCGCTGTCAATCGTCGTTAATGCGAAACAAGAATTCACTCAGGACGCAATCGATTCTAGGCTATAATTCTACTATACCTTTAAGAAACGACGTCTCTACCGCTGCCGGCCTTTACGTTAGACGGCCATGTTGATCCGGTTATTACCGGAAAACAACAGTGCAGTTTGAATTCGTCATCGAATCGATATATATTAAATGGCGGCACACGAATTTTAGCTGAGTCACGATAATGTGAAACCAACGCCCCCCTCCCCTCTTTTAAAATCATCTTTCATAATTAATCGAGGTCTATTTTGATATAAGAAATTTGAAAATAAAAAACAAAGCAATTTATTCAAAAGCTTGAGGTACCTTCTTTTACATACGTCATTTCAAAGATCGAGTTTGGAGGTCGATTGTGTATCTTGAAACGAGATGAAAATTACAAAAGTGAGCAAATTTGCTAGATACATGTGTATGTGTTGCAATTATAAATATTTCAGTAAATTTGCATACTTTTGTATGTTTCACCTTGTTTCAAGATAATCGATCCTCTGATCTTAAAAAAAAGCTTGAAGAAATATTAATGTTTAAAAAATTCGATTTTGATTCTGTTAATTTTTCCAAGGTACACTTTCGATCGCATTCAATTCTTCAATTGACGTTGACTTATTGGCAAAATTATTACTGCGGTAAAAAATTTTTCATACATGAATATGTATAAATATACATAAATATTCATAAACATGTATATTGTATGACATATAAAATATGTCCATACATGTTTATACATTCCTCTCTTTTATAAAATTATTTTTTAGTGTAACAGAAATAATAATAGTAATGTGTAAAAAATAATTAAAAGGATAATTTTTACACTTTTGTTTTAGAAAAAAATCAAGTTTAAAGAAATATAAAAATTACTTATGTATAATTTATATATAATTTACATTTATGTATAATTTATATATAATTTATATATAAAATTATGCATAATTGTGTATGAACAAATTTCTTTACATTTTTCCAAACTTGTTTTTTTCCAAATGAAAAAATTATTCTTTTAATTATTTTTGATGTTTTACTATTATTATTTCTATTATAACACTAAAAAATAATTTTACAAAAGAAAGAGGAATGTATACGAACATGTATGGACACATTTCATACCTAATTATACATGTTTATGAATATTTATGTATGTTTGTATTATTGTATTGTATTGTTTATACATATTTACACATATTCACGTATGAAACATTTTTTATCGAACATGACAATATTAACTATATTATAATTATACTAGAAATACCCATATTTTTTACTATAAATAAAAAATATTAAGGATCATACAATAGATGAAAATAAAGAAAATGATGAAAAATATTTCAATATAAAAACACAATTATTAAAAAGTCCAAATATTCCAGAATGATATCTTTTACATTAGAAACATAATATTAATCTAAAAAATAGTAATGATTAATTATGATCAATATGATCGGTACTTCTGGTGTTAAAGAAATATCCTTAATGATTTATTAAACTTCGCATTCGTTGTTTGTTCAAAAGGTATGTCGAAACTTCGCAATAACATACCAATCTCAATGATTTCGATTGCCTCGCCGCTCTCGTCTTCTCTCGTTGTCCTGACAACGTTGCGATCAAATCGTTTATTCAATTCGCGACTTGTAGAATAACATATCTTCCTCTTCTCTAATCCGTTTTCTCGACTTCGTTTTCTTTTGTTGTTCGTCAAATGAATTCTCATCATGGCCAAATTCGTGAGTACTTATGAAAAACCTCTGTCTCATATCAGTCTGCCGGACTGGTACGCCAAACAATGGGAGCTTCGACAAAACGCGGATGTCAAAAGATCCGAGGCTTGTCGGCTACGCAATTCAAGCAAAACCACTCGTTCTGAAGAGAACATTACAACGAAATGGGACATCTATCTGAACAATGCTCGATTAACGGACAGGTGACTGCGAGTACTCTTGACAAATATTACAATTAATCTATAATAAAAATTCAAGCAGACTAAACCATGATAATATTAAAATGGTTATTGATTGAAAAGTTATTTTTGGCAACCATTTTGGAGCTATTTTGATGTTATAATAATTTGTTTTGCTTGGGAATAATAAAGTTGCAATTGATTTCATTCAGTTGCTCTTAGGGAAATATACATCTCCAACATAATATTTTGTCTCGTCAGACTGTTAGAACTATCGAGATGGAGGGACATCCTCGATGACTTGCTGCAAAAATTATTAACTGAGATACGCTCATTAAGTGACGAGAAAGCCAACACACAGAAGGACCTTGAAAACATAACTCATCCCTTGCGTATTGCCAGCGAATGTATCTCCATGAGAGACCGCCGTAGAGAAACCGAACTCACGTATGATGAGGCTGATATAGAGTTGAAGAAGGAGCTCCGTATGATTGCAAATATTTATGAAGAATTTACCAAGAGGTGATCAAGCTGATACATGTCATAGAAAGATAATATATTTTCTTTCGTTCTATTCCATTCTTTTCATCTGCTAGAGCACAGACCGCATGGGAAAAGTTAAATTGCTTGGAAGCCCTTAAATTTAGGCTGAACTTGGACATAGAGGATAAAAACGAAACCATTAGAATAGATAAAGACAATCTCGAATTAGATCACACTTCTGCAAATATAAGTTACAAACCGGGAAGATTAGTCGATAAAACAGGGTACAAAATTTCCTTTTCTTCTATTTGCTGTTTGTCCCGCAATCTTTATATCACCAAAATTCATAACTTGTCTTTTTCCATTTCAACAGTTCAATCACGTACGAGGTTTGGCTGGACCGATGTCGTTGTTCCAAGTTGTCTGCCGAAAAAGAATTGAGTGAATCTTACAATTTTCGTGAGGCTACACGTGTAATGAGGGAACATGCATTGAACGTTATTAAAGCTCAACAAGACGCAACAGACTACACTTTGAGGAAGAGAATTTATCAAACGCAAAAAGGCAGAAATGAAATGGAGTGGCAGAAGCTCAAGGTATATATGATCGATTATATTTCTTCAATTTTAATAAATTTTCATGAAAATAAAAATAAATTAAATAATGAATTTGACAAGTATCAAATATATGATAAGAATTTGTTCTCTCTGCATTTTTTAATATAAATAGGTACAGAAAGAAATGGAAATGTTGGGAAATGAAATAACCCAGTTGGAAGCAACACTGATGAGTAAAATAGGTGTGGTGAAATGTGTCGAAACACGATTGGAAAACCGAATTTATCGGCCTGGCTCGGAATTTTGTAAGGATGATGTGGAATTAGGCTTGAAGAAGGAAGCCTTGCAATTAAAAAAGACTGAAGAAAATCTAATTAAAATGATCGAGCATGCAAAGTATGTATCTTATATTGCTAATTATTACACGCATTCTATTAGGTGTGGGGAAAAGTTTGTGGCGGTTTTCCCATTAGACGGCATTAAAAAAACGCCACGAACTTTTTCCCACACCTAATACAATAAGCCATTAATCATAAATCTGAAGTTAGAAGCTGGAAATTGACATCACAGTCATCAATTTCTAATTTCTGATTTATACTAATAGCTTATTGTAGAATGGCCAGACTCATCAACTGCATTCGGAAGAAGAACTAACTTTACAACTATTATAAGATTCTTTAATACAATTGATTATATATTTATATCCATTTAGAAATTAAGGACAATAACCGAGTTGATCAATTAAAAGTATATTAATTTTACATTCAATATAATACATTGTATTATATAATAATGATTATATTGCTGATAGTGAAATTAATGTTATGTTACTTTTAGTTGGTATAGACTGGGAGATTTATATTTAAAAAACCTTATAATGCAAACACACACACACACACACACACA